TCAATGGATAAATGGATAAAGAAAATGTGAGATAGATATCTCTCTCTCTCTCTCTCTCTCTCTCTCTCTCTCTCTCTCTCTCTCTCACACACACACACACACAGGAGTTTTATTCAGCCAAAAAGAAGAAAATATGTTATTTTCAGGAAAATGAATGGAGCTTGAGAGTATGTGTTAAGTGAAAAAAGCCAACATCAAGGGTTGTATGTTTTCTCTCATACATGGAAGCTAGAAAGGAAAAAGGAGAAGAAAGGGGTTGGATCTCATGAAAATAGAAGGAAGACTATTAAAATAGAGGAAAGAGGGACCAAGAGAAGAAAAGAGGGGAAGGAAAAGGGAAGTAGTAGGAAACAATAGTGACCAAATTGTATTGTTATATCATGTGCATATATGAATATGTAGCAATGAACCCCACTATTATGTATAGTTGTAATGCACCAATAAAATATGGAAAAATACAAAAGAGAATTCTGCCTATTAAAAACAAAAGAAAAATTAAAAGTTTAGTGTGGGACATGTTAGGTCTACTTGTTAAGTGGAAAAGTTGACAAGTAGAACTGTAACTGAAAGTCTCAAGTTCAGAGATGACTGGTCTGCAGAAATATAACTAGGGTAATCATCATGTAGATAATATTTGTATCAATGGAGTAGAAAAGATTTCCTCAAGAGTGCCTGTAGGTAGACGTGGGGACTGAGCTTGGAGGAAAAGAACAGCTGGGCCGATAGTAACCCCCTCCTTTCATACAGGAACCAGTCAATCTATATGAGGTTTCCTTGAAAATTATTATGCTTAAGTGTAAAACCGTATTATTACTGCCAGGTGATAGAGGGAATGACAACACTGTTAGAACCAATAGAGAAGCCAAAAAAAAAGAACTGATGAGTTTTCTTTTAGAAATAATGTTGACAAGCCAGCAAAATATGTAGGCAAATGCTCAGAAGTAAATTTAAAATAGGAGAACTGAACTTTGGGGGAATATCAGGATTTTCTTTTTGTTTGTTCATTTGATTTGGGATCAAACCCAGGGCCTCATGCATGCCGGGCAAGCACTCTACCACTAAAATACATCCCTATCCCAGGGAGATAGCAAAGTAAGAGCTCTAGATTATATGGTTGTCCATATGGATGTGATAATGTCCCCAAATTTGGACCATTCCCTACCTATTTCTATCTCCTACAGGCTGTAGGCAAGAGGAAAGGATAAGGTAAAATTTCACAGTCCTAAATAAGTTATTCATTCTTCTGCTTATAAGATATAATTAAAAGGTCATGGGAAGACATATGAAAATAATTGTTTAAAATGGAATTTGGGTTGTACATGTGATATCTCAAATGTGTTTGATACTATGCTGAATAAGTACTTTATTTACATTGACCACAACCTTATGGAATAGAATTTTCTTTATTTTAACAGTTAAGAAAATTGAGTTTCAAAATGTTAACTGTCAAGGGTCACATAAGTGGTAATCATCTACCCTAAGACGGGAACTCAGAGCTATCTTTCAACCAAGTTCAGTACATTTTGCTCACAACACCAATGATCAATAATGGGTATTTGGAATGACAGAATGATCTCCCTCCAAAAGTAGCCCTACTTTCTGAAAAGGATTTTAAAACTCTGTTTTATTGAATTTTGGATATTCATGGGAGAAACTACTATCTTTACTTGTTGAAAATTTAATTATTTTTCTTGAGATAAATTACAGCAGTGTATTATCTTTTTTTTTTTTTTCTGTCTGAAGGGCTCATAAACAATGAACCATAAGAAATTAATTAGGGTAAGTTGCATGTCTGTATAATTCTGTGTATCTTCCTGTAGCAACTGGGGACAGCTCAATCTGGTGATTTCACATGTGGCCTACCATTTTTTTCTGAGGAGCATTCAAAGAGCTGAGAAAGAAAACGACAGTCACTGACTTTGAAAACATATTACTTCCCCCTTACTAATCATGTTCCTTAAGGATTCCTGTAGCTCTACTGAAAGCTCACGTCAATAAATACCTGGTGACTTATTTGTAAACTTGGGAGTAAGGATGGGCCAAATGTTGTTGGGCCTGAAGTTTCTATGCTATACATTTGGGGGACTTCTGTAAGAAAAAGAAGACATGAAATTGCATACTGTCTTAAGAAAGGATCCATGCAAGTTAGGGGGCTTGAACTTAAGTTGCATTTGCTTCATAGTAAATCTATTTCCACTGTAAAGAAGATATGATTTAATATTTTAGAGCTAAGAGAGCTATAAAATGTACTAGCATTTTTCACTGAAAAGAAAATGTTATAGGAAAATGTCAATGTTTCCCACCTCCTTTAATTCCTTGTTTGAGATGGGTGTCCTGTGTTTCCTATTTTGAGAACACTAAGGAAAAGGTGACAAAACCCCCCAAATACCTCAGCATGGGTGCTGTTAGTTGCTGAATGTGTTCACATCTTGCTTCCATTGATGGTGCTAAGCTTTAGAACAAGTAAAGGCTCTCTTAATAATGAAATGGTTTCACCATAGACACAAACACAGATTGAATTGAAATGATTTTATTTCCTTGCAGGGGTGAGGGGGTCATATTGTAAGGAGGAAAAATAAATTGGATCAGTAATTTGTCAAATAAAGAAGAACAATCAATTAGAAAAGTGTGGCTTCAATTTGGAAAATAAGTCAGATTTTCAAAAGCTGTTTTTCCTTTTGGAGGTGAACGGTCATATTACAAGGAGCTTAGGGCTCCTTGAGATGGCCGTAGCAGACCAGCTAATGACAAGTGATTTTATTTTTCGTGCTGATAAAAAAAGACATGAGTCGGATCTACCTCAACAGTGGCTGGCTTGAAGTGCCATGGGGAGATGGTGATTTAGGTATGATATAGAACTTTACAAAACTATGCATATTTTAAATCATGAATGTTTTCGCTAGAGCAATGTGATATTTACAAAACAGCACAGGCTCTCACCCTGTAAATTATATACCAGATGTCTGGGAACTAGTGTTTCTAAATATAGGCCAAGTCACCTCCTGTGTAGCTACAGAGCCGTAGCAGTAGGCATTTGATTAACGTGATGAAAGTTGCAGATAATTTGTAAAACAATTTCACAGTGAATAATTTATCCTAAAGAGTTAAATTGGATATTTTTTTTATAAGGAAGGGCTTTTGTTTCTTTTATCCTAGATACTCTATTCCAATCTAACACAATTGTAAATCTACTAAACAGTTATACATAGAGAGATTTATATTTTTTTTGATCTTGATAAAGCTTATTAATCTGATATAAAGCCACATCTCTATTGAAAGGTAAGATATTTATTATTGCGCATATGTGAATAGAAACCTGTAGTTGCTAAATTTCAGATTTTGAAGGGGAGACACAGGTTAGGTTGAAAACTTAACTTCAAAACAGAACTTGGAAAATGACCAAGTATATTTTGATTCTCATGTTACCAGATTTCAGAAATTATTTGAAGAAATTACAAAGAAGCAAAATGAGGTGAGATTGCTTGGGAGTTGAACAAGCAGAATTCAAAGCAAAAGGTTTTCTTCATTGGGTGGCAGAGATGCTGTATAAATTATTCCTTTCATGATTGATATGGCTTTATTTCTTATTATTTCAGAAAGAAAAGATGTATTTTGGCCTCTGTGTGACCGTTTGCAAAATGATCATTTTCCTTTTCTTTCTCTCTCTGCCCCTCTGAAACACTGGCAAGTAATGCAAAAATTGTTCAGAAGGCTAATACAATCATTTTGAAGAACAAACACATTAGAATGCAAAGGCGGAGAGCTGGCTGGGAGGAATACCAAGTAGCCCTCAGCTGCAAATATTGCTAGCTTTGTTGTCCCTTAAAGGTCTTCATAACATACTGAAGAAATGGATCCAAAATTAATCAAAAAGTCCATTTCTGTCGGCTTCTGCCAATGCCTACCTCTGGCTAATTATCATGTTAGCTGGTGACAGTGAAATAACAGCAGTGACAATAACTCAGCATTGTATATTCAGCATATAGTTTTTAGAGATAAAGGTGATAAACTTTATTAAATCATTATGCAGGAAGGGAAAATCTGATCATTACAAATGTTGCAAGTGATTACTTAATTTAAAACATATATTTAAGCATTGGTTATTTAAATTTTTATTAATTTGCTATTGCTGATTAAACTGAGCCTAGTGGTTTCTCAAATTTAATATATTTGGAAAATTAGTATTATAATTCTCATTTTTTTTTGCTTAAATATTCACAATGAAAATGGATATATATTCTATAGTTCTTTAGATTTTCTCTTTGAAATCAAGATTCTTAATGATAAAATAAATGTGCATGATATGTAAACATCAGATTTCATCTTAGAAACTGGAACTCAAAACATGGTCATTCCCCCAAAGAACATTATTTATGATGATGTATTTTACATTTTACTTAGTGAGAACATAATATTCCAATTTTTATAGATTTTTTATTTGCCCCCAAATTTCATCCTGTGAACACATATTTATTTAATGCTGTGCATGATTATAATTCTGCTTTGAATATAAGACAACACTGTTGTACACAGCAAATTAAAAATATACAAAAACTAATACTGGTAATTCCTATTGCAACTCAAGACTCAAGTCAGTGTCTGGCTTACTAATTTTTCTAGATAAGCAAGTAATCATGCTAGACGGACACTTTAAAATATGTATCTAATTATAAACAGAAAACATATAATTCAGTATTCCTTTGAGACTTATAGTGTGTTAAGTTTTACACTTTAGTCAAATTTTACACTTATTTTGGGACTTAAGATAAACGTGTGTATGAAACTCTGTGGGAAACTCAAGTTATCACTTCACTGATTGAATTGAGGCTCTCATAACACAATCATTTCTCATAGATCTTCTAGCATTGTCTCAAACATGAGCTCTTGGGGGACACCTCACATCCAAACCATAACAGTATTTTTTTGTTTTTATTTAGTCAGGTTATCCATGAAGAAACTAGTTTTGCTCAGCTCTGAAGCTGTTACTGCAAAGGTTGCCAATAGCACTTTAAGGTATTTCCAGAACTTTTTTACCCATTGCATAAGGAACCCTTTCTGAACAAGATTAAAGTCTCTAGCTGATAATAGCTATAGTTTCAGTATCTTTTGAAGGAGAAAATACGTCACAACCAGAAACCTGTCACAGGTATTAGTTTCATTAATCACATACACTTGAAAATTATAATCCAGCAGGGTACAGTGATGTGTTCCTGTAGTCCCAGCTACTTGGGAGGCTGAATAGGGATATTGATAGCACCCAGGAGTTCAAGGTCAGCCTCGACAACACAACCAGATATTGTTTTTTTTTAAAAAAAAAGAAAAAGAGTAATAATCTAAATACATTCAGCACAACTTCAAGTCTGCAAATCTGTCAGGGAAGGCAGGTCATTTTATGCTTGTGCCTTATCCTTAGATTGGGTCTCTCTGACCCACATATAACCATGAGATAAAGACAAGCCTAATGGCTGAAGACAATTTTCTTATATGCACTCCAGAATTTTCAGAATGATAAGAAAACTAAGGTTATTTTAAAAATAAGCTTTAAAGTATTTGAGGCTAAAGGAAGAATCCAAACATTGTCAAATAATCACTCTGGAAACCTGAAAGAACTCAGAGAAGAGACACTCCATAACTCAGATCCTTAGATGTGTGTGATAAGACTGAAAAGTATTCAGCTAAGTTTCTACTCAGTGCATCAACAGATTTTTGAAGATCTTTTTCATTCTTACAGAGAAAGTTTTACACATTGTAAATTATACTTAATCAATATGATTCATACTAGTTTTCTGGCATTTGCAAAACCCTGAAAATTGAGTCCTACTCCTTCTAGACCCAAGTTCCCAGGAATTCACTATCACCAAGTTACTGGCTGAGGCTTCTACTTCTGGTTTCTGTGTATCACCATTGTTTCAGGAAGACCTTGGAGGCAGCTAATTACTTTCCTTACAGTAAATCACTCTGCATAAGCCCACAGACAAACAATGTCCAGATCAGTGAGCAGGGTTTTGGCTAGGATTATCAGCTGTGTGCTTAGAATATGTGGACTTCTATATTACTTCATGTTTTTCTAGATTTTATTTCCTCAACTTTAAAATAGAAGTAGTAATTTATGTACCTCAAATCATTGTGAGAACTAAATGAGATACTACACATAGTGATTTTACTGTGTATAGAATTTACTTGTGCATAGGGTTTAGTCTATGCAACACAGTAAATGCTATTCAACATTAGCTATTATGATCATTACTGGTAAATCAATGGTAAGAAGTTGTACTCTATCTCCTCTCCCTTAGGATTTGTATTTCTAGTAAAATCCTATAGTATCATTAGACGTAAAAAGATTGGTGATTGGCAATTAACTTCTGCTCTCTGCACCAAGCTCACTTGGTGGCTGCATTTACCTTGTGATATGTGCCCTGCATTTTATTTAATAGAATTAATTTAAGTATCACCTACAGTGTGGTGGCAAAGCTCTGCGGTAAGACTATAATATAGAATCATAGGAAGAATCACGTGTAGATTGTTTCAAAGCACAGAAAGGTGGGGATAGGAGACAGTTTCTAAAGTACAGTATTCTACTGCAGCTGTGTTTCCAATAATTTGCTTAGCCTATTTAAACCAACATTAGAAATGCTTTTCATAAAACTGATATTTCTGAGTACCAGTTAAGTGAATCTATTTATTGTGCTAGAATCAATCAGCAGTTAAAAATATTTTAATTTATTGCATCCTGTGGATTTAAAAAGGGAGGAAACGAGGTAGTAGACAGGAAGGCAGATACCAACCATAACCATCTTATGTGGGGACAACTTTCTCTCTAGCTAATGTTGCTTTATTAGCCAGTAGTATCCTTTGAGTGAAATTTGTTTCCTGGCGTGCATAACCTGCTCATTTAATCACATCAAAACCTCTAATATTATTTCTTATGTCTAGTAAATTGAACCAACGGTGCTGGTCTTGTTTAAATTACAGTGAATTCACTGTGCACCAACTTGACATATTTAAAAAAAAAAAAAAAAACGAAAAAAACTGTGCAGCCACAGTGTGAGGGAAATGGGAGTGGAGGCTGTGTCTTTGGGTAGTGGCTGACTGCCAAAAAGTACTAGGGTAAAGGAAAGGTGGCTTTCTCACATGAAGAGACCGAAGGTGCAAAAAAACATGTAAGTCAAAAATTTGGGAGCTCATGATGAGTGAGTGTGGTATCACCAAAGCGTGGGGTGGAGGGGTCATCCACACCTGGCACATGGAGAGTCATGTTCTCCACCATCAACACCATTTCAAATGTGGTGGCCCTGTGTCCCTCCCAGCCTGTGAGCTCTCTCTTTAGGGCCCACCTTGACTGTTCCATTATTTCATACTTGGGGCTCAGTCATTTGCCTCCTTGGCCACATATTGTGTACCTCAGGGGCATGGCAGGTGGGGAGTGTGGGGAAGTGAATATTTTGGCTGCTGTCATTGGTAAATTAAATAATAAATAAATAAATCTGGTTCTGTCTGAAAAAATCATGATATAGAGGTTTTTTTTTTTTTTTTTATCAATGTTTTTTTTGGTGATCAATGTGGTATCCTAATCATTGTCCTCTTTGGAAGACAACTCAATAGGTGCAGTTGAGTCTGAGGTAGGTCAATTGCAGAACATGCATTATAAGTAGATTTGCAAACTACTTATTTGGATACTTTTGGTAAAAATCAAATTTCCTACCAGGTAGGATAAGTATCCGGGTCACCTTGTGGAATGCTGAATGTGAATAATTTATGACATAGGAATTGATTGAGCCTATTAGGCTTTGCTTTGACTCACTAATTTTGGTTTTCTTTCTTTTTGACAGGTTCCTGGGCAGATCGATCWCCACTACATGAAGCTGCAAGTCAAGGTCGTCTTCTCGCTCTGAGAACATTATTATCACAGGTAAAATATTACATATAGCTTAGACACGYCCCCTTCCCATCAGCATAGAACACTGTGAAAACAAATCAATTCAAAACTACTAAAATTGCTTAAATTTACTACCTTTATAACTGTGGGCTAGTCAATAGTTTCTCATTTATCTTTGAAATTACTTTACAAATATTTTKGTATAATCCTTTGTTTKGGCATTTTAAATTTCTCATWCAGTATATGTTTGTTCATTGATAGAAATTTAAGCAATAAATAATTGTATGTATTATTAATTATTCTTTTTTGGGGGGAGATACTGGGAGTTGAACTGARGAGCACTCAAGCACTGAGCCACATCCCAGCACTATTGTGTATTTTATTTAGAAATTTGGTCTCACTGAATTGCTTAGCACCTCACTTTTGCTGGGGCTGGCTTTGAACTTGMGATCCTCCTAACTCAGCCTCCTGGGAATACAAGCTTGCACCACTGYGCCCAGCTATTTATTTATTTTTCATATTTATTTTTTAGCTATAGGCAGACACAATATCTTTTTTTTTACTTTTATGTGGTGCTGAGAATCACATGCCAAGCGAGTGCTCTATCTCTGAGCCACAACCGAAGCTCCCGGCTATTATTAATTATTCTAAATATGCTTACCTCTGTCTAATGTGTATAGCTAATTGGAGACTTGGTCACATAATAACCATAAAGAGTGATTAGAATAGATTCTGAAACAATCTTTTTGTGACATGGTATTCTAATGTGGGGAGTTGTCTACGGGGGCACAGAATGCTCATTTCTACACCTGGCTGCTCATCAGACTCACCAGAGGAAAAGTGAAAAACATATTCCTTCTTGAAACAGAGTATGTGGCATGGGCCTGTGCATTTATTTTTTAAGATTCCATTCAGATTTAAATATACAGCCGGTTCTAGGAGTCACTGTACTAGTGTTTCCCAGTATCGCAGGACAAGGAATGGCTGAGAAAGGAAGAGTCCTGTGGCCCAGTTTAAATGGCACTGCCTGGGGCTCAGGAGACCTGCATTYTGGGCTGGCACTAGGGCTGACCCACCTTCTGTCCGAGCTCCATTTTCACATCTGCAAAATGAAGATATGCATGAGACGCTCCCTTGGTGCCAACCAGTTCTGTGACAACCATGTGACTATTTTGTTTTGCTTATCACTTGATGAGGGGGAAAAAAATGCCCTATCAAAAGGTCAGTAATTCCAAATGGTAATCCCTCAGAGTGTCATGCGGTTCTCTGCGAAGCGGGCAGTCCTAAGTTATTTCTCAACGTGTATCTCCTATCCACAGGCAGGCCAGCCAAGAAGAGAGAGAGGCTGCCCCAGAGCACCATGTGGGAGGGAACCTCCACCTTCTCAATTGCTTGTGTCATCTGGCCACTCCACTGCAGTCTAGGGCAGCTCTCCAAATCTGCTGGCTAGCAACTTGAAATCTTTGCAGGGATAATTAAAGGATCTTAAAAATTCCCACTCACTAATGACAAAGATTTGGTGTTATTCTCTACRTGTGCCTTCATTGTATGATGCTTCGTGTCCATTCTGGTATTAAAGATTAGTAATCTCTAGTTATAGAATATTGGCAATCTGTAATATGTTAGGAGTATTTGTCTTGAAATTCTTCCTTAAATAGTAGTGCTTAGTATTAGTGTCAATAGATAATGAATTACTTAGTGACATCAAGATTGCAAAGGATCTCATGCCCTAATATTTAACTATTTTAGTCTTATAATGTAGGTTTCATTGAGCTAAAATTAAAAAGTATTTAGTATTGACTGAAAAATAAATTCTAATATTTAAAATAAATAATAAAATCTAATATTTCCTGTACACTGGGTGCTATGATAATAATTGCTTTACAAACATCACCTCATTTTTGTGTGTTTGTGTTGGGGGGACATACCAGGGATTGAACTCAGGGGCACTCGACTATTGAGCCACATCCTCAGCCCTATTTTGTATTTTATTTAGAGACAGGGTCTTACTGAGTTGCTTAGCACCTTGCTGTTGCTGAGTCTGGCTTTGAACTCGAGATCCTCCTACCTCAGGCTCCCTAGCCACTGGGATTACAGGCTTGCACCACTGTGCCCAGAGGCATTACCTCATTTAATTCTCATGATAACCCTAAACTTGAAAAGATAAGGTATTTGTCCAAATTGCAAAGTTACTGCTTAATGGAGCTAGGTTTTAAACTGTCTAACTGGCTTTATAGTGACAGTTCTTAATCCTAGTCTGTATTTTAGCCATATCTTTCTAGTGATAGAAATTTACAAAGCAGTTTATTAAATTTTAAAGTATTTTTCCCCCCGGTCTGGACTACTCAAAACAAGTGATCCTTTGGGCTGGGGATGTGGCTCAAGCAGTAGCGTGTTCGCCTGGTATGCGTGGGGCCCCGGGTTTGATCCTCAGCGCCACATACAAACAAAGATGTTATGTCCGCCAAAAACTAAAAATAAATATTAAAAGAAAATTCTCTTTCTCTCTTAAAAAAAAGAGAAGTGATCCAGTTTATCAATAGTCTTTAATTTTACACACACAAAAATCCAAACAAAATAAAAACCACCCCCAAAACAGTTAAGAGAGCAAAATTTTAAAAAATACCAGAATCTGTTGAACAAACTGCTTAAGGTATTATTATCTCAAGGCATGATGGTACTACAACATTGTGGCTAAGAAGATTTTWAAAAAAATTTTAATTATACATATTTATGGGYTACAGTGTGATAATTCAACATATGTATACAGTATATAATAAGCAAATCAAGGTAGTGTTTTCATTTCCTTAAATATTTTAAACAATTTCTGAATAACAATAATCATGCATATTTATGGAGTACAGTGTGAAATTTTAATTCATGCATATACTGTATACTGATTAAATCAGGAGTAATTAGCATTCCATCTCTTTATCATTACTCTATATTTGGAAACTTCCTGCTCCAAAGGAAATGAAATCAGCATATCAAAGAAATATCTACACTTTCATGTTTATTGCAGAACTTTTCACAGTAGCAAAGATACAGAATCAACCTAGAAGCCTATTAATAAATGAATGGAGAAAGAAGATGTGGTACATTGGGATATTATTGGATTATAAAAAGAATGATATCTTGTCAGTTGTAATAGAATGGAGAGACTGGAGGATATTATGTATTAAGAGAAATAAGTCAGACACAGAAAGACAAATACTGCATGTAAAAAAGCTAAACCTTCAATCTGAATGTGGAATAATGATTATAGAGACAGAAAAGATTAGGGAGAGGGAAAATAGAGGGAGATTGTATAACAGGCACAGAACATAGGTGAGTTCTAGTGCTCTAGATGACAGTGGAGTGACTTTAGTTCACAATCTCTGTAATTCACATCATGAATAACTAGAAGAGAAGAGCTAAGGCGTTTTGGCAACTGATTGACTCCATGGCATTCAAATTGGCCATGCCTATTAAACTGGAAACTGATTTGCATGAGATTCTTTGATATTTAAAATGTGGCATTCTCTAATGACATTTAGGGAGATGATTTTTCTACAACTCTTTGCTCACCTTTCAAAATTGTTTGCCATGCCTAGGGTTATAATGTGAATGCAGTCACTATAGACCATGTCACCCCATTACACGAAGCCTGCYTGGGAGATCACGTGGCCTGTGCCAGAGCTCTTCTGGAAGCTGGAGCTAATGTAAGCATTTTGCTTTTCTGTCATTCTTTCTGAGTAGTTTCAAAAATAATAGAATAAAAATAAAGCCCTTGAATTGCGTTTTCCTTCTCATTTCACTCTCAAAAGGACTTCCAACAATCCTATGAATGAGTGGCATGCGGCATAATAATATAAAATATTCTTTAGGTTATTTTCTGCTTTCATGCCTCTAGAGGATTATCTTCAGGCCTATAACAATGGCTCATCTTTTGAATAATTTTCCTCAGATAAGTTCTCAGAAATAGAATGACCAATTTTACCATTTTAAACAACCACCAGTAAAGTGGCTTCAGCCCAACTTTCATCAACATTACATTTTTTTCTTCATTTGTTTCCCTCACTGAAATTTACCTAATCATTGAATTAGTTTTTGTTCAATAATTGAGATTTTTTTTTCACTCTTTTCACTAGTTGTACATCTATTCCTGGGAACTATCTGCCATATTGTATTTCTATTTATTTACCTCTTGAAGTATTAAAGCATTCTTATCAATCTATAAGAACTAAATATACTTTGTCATATTTACAGCACACAGATTCCCAGTTACTTTGGTTAGCAATCACATAACTTGAAAATGCATAACTAAGTCAGTCATGTATGATTCATAAATCTTATTCTTAGGTTTTGGGTTTGATTTAGGTAAATGCAATCACAATAGATGGTGTGACTCCGTTATTCAATGCATGCTCGCAAGGCAGTGCCAGCTGTACAGAACTTCTTTTGGAATATGGTGCGAAGGCCCAGCTGGAGTCCTGTCTTCCATCTCCCACACATGAGGCTGCCAGTAAAGGTAACTTAGTTAGGGGATAAAGTCAAAAGGGAAGAGAGTTCCTTGACATTCAGTGTTCCATTTACCATTTAGTAAATTAAATTTTAGGGGACACATGGGTTGAGGTGCACGTGTGTTGGAGAGTAGTGAAAGCTAAAGTAAACTCATCTCTACTTGTGTTGGCAGGTCACCATGAATGTCTCGACATACTGATATCCTGGGGCGTAGATGTTGACCAAGATGTTCCTCATTTGGGAACTCCTCTCTATGTAGCTTGCATGTCACAGCAATTCCATTGCATCTGGAGACTTCTTTATGCCGGTACTTTTCTTTAAAACATTTTCCATTCTGTTCCTTACATAAGCATTTATTTTCCTAACTAAGCATCTAAAAATTATAACTCATTGCTAATAACATTTTCATTGCAAACATTCTCCCTTATAAGTCCCTTATAAGTATATAACTAATAAAAGAATCTCACGCTTGATGAGAATACTTTGAAGCTCACAGATTAATATGCTATCTATATTTTACACACACAGCATTAACTGACATTTGGGTATGTAATGGAGCCTGAAAGCCCTCCTTATAAAAGATCATAAAATTAAGATCCTCAAGGTTTAATATAATGTTGCTGAGTATGTATATATCTGTGAATAAATCCATGAAAAGAAATTTTAGGGATAGTAACTGCTTGGATGGCCTTATATGCTACCAACCATAAAAACTCACACATTTTTCCCTGACTCTTTGTTTTGTCCTGTTTACTCCAAAAGAATTAATACTCTTTTCTACTTATGTGAAATGACGCAAGGTTCAGTTGTAGCCCTCTGAGAAACATTCCTATTCTGTTGAGACCATAGTGGTCTCTACCACCAAAGGACTAGGAGCTCCATTAGGATGTAGATTATGTCCCCTCCCACATCATCTATCTAGCAGGGTCCCTCTCATGTGGTAGATGCTTAGAATATACCAAAAAAAAAAAAAAAAACCTAAATGGATTTATTTCTTGCTACTATTGTTTATGATAGTCATTTGATCTCCTAAATACATTCAGAAATATTTTAATAATAAATCTTTTATATATTACTCACATTATCTTAGCTTATTTATAAATATCTTACAAGCTGAGTCAGCTTCTACTATTTTATTCTCATTACACCTAGAATCTTAAACATGAGTTTTGTTAATGATAGTTGGCAGACTGTTATTTTCTAGCCATGTTCTCCCATAAATTTGGTATAACCATTGGACTTGTGCTTTAATAATAAAACATCCCTGTTTTTTTTTTTTTTTTGCTAGGAACATTTTATAATGGGCTTAAAAATATCAAGAAAGTGTTGTTAGTAATTGTTGATTGATTATTATTATCTCATATGATTGTTATAACCAAGAGTCTGTTTTCTCTATAGAAATTTTGCTATGGCATGTAATTTTCCCACTAAATGTTTTATATTTGCTTTAAAAAATAAATTTGAAAATAGCAGAAGGGCCATAAAGAAACTCTGAAAATTTACTGTTTCCCATGTACATCATTAATTTTTCAAACAGCTTCAGAAAACAGAGTTGAAAAGAACTTACGCATTTTTACTGGTAGACATTTCCTGGTGTTGTAACCATTTATGTACCAGAAAATGGGATTATAATATTAGAATTTTAAACATCACTTATTTATTGTACATGCATTAAATGATCACCATATGCCAGGCTCTACACCAGAATATAATAATTATGCAATAGATAATTTCACATTTTAKGGTTGGGTTTTTTAGTGTGAGTACTTTTTTAAAAAAAATTACTTTGCATGCAGATATCATTGATGTGCTTTCCCACTTGAGAGGCTTGGTGTCTTCATATATTTATTGATTAAATCTATGTGAGTGAAAAGTACCAGGAAAGTCTATATCCATTTTACCTAGATGGATCACATGTCTAGATTCATGAGTTTTCTAAGAAATCAAAGACCTCTATTGCCTTAAATAAGKGAAAAGARAAAAATGTAATAAGCCCTTGAATAATCTTAAGAGCTTTATCTATCATGAAAACAGATATGTATGCATTTAATCATGTACTGTTTATAATAATTAATACAATTAATTTTTGAATCATTTAAAATCTCTTTATTACGATATCTTTCAAGAATACAAAAAAATTTGAGAAAAATATACTGTGGGTGTGTACCTCCCCATCCAAACATACTAAGTTTAAGATTTTATATGTACATATGAGAAATATATAATATACATTAATATATGTATATATAAAGATATTTGTGCATATACAAGGATAARAAGATATAAAATATATATAATATATGTATATATGAAATCATAAGCCATTACAAAGTTGAGGTCCCTTCTGTCCCCCTCTTTAAGGACTTTCTCTTTCTTCCCCACTTAGGAATTAACTCATCTAATAATTTTTTATTGTTTTTTTCATGACTCCTTATTCACATGTAGGCGCTGATGTACAAAAAGGCAAATATTGGGATACTCCATTACATGCTGCTGCTCAACAATCCAGTACAGAAATTGTAAATTTACTATTAGAATTTGGAGCAGATATCAATGCCAAAAATACAGAGCTTCTGCGACCTATAGATGTATCTACATCTAACAGTATGGTAGAGAGAATACTGCTTCAACATGAAGGTAAGGACAGATGTGAATATGAACATGTATAAATACAAAAGTATATTTGCTCCAAACAAATGAAATTGAAAGACCTTTTGTTGGCATGTAAAATAATAATGGCGTATAATTTGGAACATTTTTTGTGGAAGTAGAAATATTTCYAATATGTCTACAAAGAAGATAGCATGATGATTTTAATACTCTTTTTTCATCATATCTAAACCTTCATATTCCTCTAGTTAAATATATTCAGCTTGTTTTGACAATGCATAACATGTATTCTGATATAATATCTGTTAAATTATCATTTATATTTGGAAACATGCCCTGTTTTATAAGGGCATGTGCCTTCTGTAACATATTGAAGAAACATAATAAGGAATGATTTTAACACTTAAGAYTCTTGTTCTAAACAGAATTTATTAAGTCTGGTTCAGAGACTATAATAAAGTTTACTTTAGCTTAAATATTAAAACTAACTTGAGGGAAAACATAATTTTTAAATTTCACCTTTAGTATATAATGCTTCTTGTGGCTTTTGATTTATATCTCCTAAAAAAAGGCCAATTTCTTTCTTAGGCTCTTAATGCAATGATTGTTTCATAATATTGAAGATGATAATGTTTTAATGAACATGCATGGCATATATCTTAATTACAAGATCTCATAAGTAAAAGCAACATAAATGCTTACATAAAGTTTCCTAGTATGCTKGTCATACTATCTTTATTTCCTAATAAGCTTTGTAGTGTCTTATGRTTTTGTTTCATCTCTCTTGCCATATATAAAAACTCATTTGGATTTTAATTAACAGAAACGTTCATGTCTTTTTGTAGCTACCCCAAGTTCTCTCTGCCAACTCTGCCGACTCTGTATCCGAAATTGCATAGGAAGACCAAGATTACATCTTATCCCACAGCTCCAGTTGCCAACATTATTGCAGAATTTCTTGCAGTATCGATAAAGCAGTAAAATATCTCTAAATTTTTTGAAAATTAAAAATTTCTATTTAATTTGCATAATGAATATTTCATATTAAAAGTTGCTAAATCCAGGGTAAACGTTAAGTATGCGATCATCCAGGGAAGCAGTAAGATATCAATTTCCATTTTTAGTGTACTACTTAGTACTTTTGTTTTAGAAATTTTTACTGTGCTTTRAATTATAATACATTTAACATATCCATACATTTTAGCTATCCCAATATATCCATTTTTGATTTAGGGAAAAAATAAGAAATTTGCCATTTCATCCTCTATATTTCCAAAGTGGAGAAGAATAAATGTGGACTTTTACTAAAATTGTAATTATAAATTTCATATACTGTATTATATTCAAAAAGATCTGTGTTCTCCAAATAATGGTTTAACTTTAATTTTGGCTATGGTAATTGGTTATCTGTGTGTTTTTGATATTGACTCAAAACATGAATATAATTTAGAAAAGAGTAAATGTGCTTTTTGAAATAAAGATGATTCTCTTTCAGGAAATCTACTATGTTGAATGTGTACATGTCATTAGAGTGATTAATTCACAAAGTAAATTGCATTCCTCCCTGCAAAGAACTCACAAGTCATTTCTCCAGAGTAAATGGACCTGAATAAAAACTAATAAGACTAAAAGTTAATACTGGCTGGGCACGCCTGTAATTCCAGTGGTTCRGGAGGCTGAGGCAGGAGGAGGGTGAGTTCAAAGCCAGCCTCAGCAAAAGCAAGGAGCTAAGCAACTCAGTGAGACCCTGTCTCTAAATAAAATACAAAATAGGGCTGGGGATGTGGCTCAGTGGTTGAGTGCTCCTGAGTTCAGTACTCTCCCGCTCCAAAAAAAAAGTTAACACTCCTCTCTCATGCTAAGATCTTTAGATCATACTCCTGCTAACACTATTTGAAGACCAGAGTGGCTTCTTAAGGTCTCTCTTCAATGTTTTCATATTACTTCATCCCTCTTCCATGTCAGAAGTTGTCAATACCCATCATATCTGAACTGGAGTAAATGCACTTTATAGCCAACTGATAAAGAGGACCTGGATTTTATTCTAGGGATCATCATGTCAGACCAAGGATTAAAAAAAAMCCTCAAGTTGTGGAGTTTTTAAGGAAAATTAAAATAGAGTATCACTTAGCATACTTAGAAACTGTAAAAAAGAAAATTTACCCTATATCTCATTCCTTGTACTTTTTGTAATTCTAGTTTCTAGTGTAGACCTTAATAGCAGCATCTCAGATTCATTTTACAYGAAATAAGGGTTCCGTATACTGTACTTGCAAATGATAACAAAAAAAAAAGAAGAGAGTGTTGTATAAAAGAATTTAATTACTAAGCTAGTCCTCTGCAAGGGGAATACTATTTTTATTCCCTTTTGTTTTAACTGTATTTGAGTGCAAAAGGAAACATAATAAAATGTTGAGCATCCTTTCTAAGCCACACTAGAGTTGGACTTATTATGGATTTAGAAATAAGATAATAAAAATACTTAGAACTCTGTAAAGGAAAATATTTTGATAAGTTTCATAGATTTATCAAATTTTGATTAAAGTGTTTTGTCCACTATTTTATTAACCCAGGACTTATTTTACTCTCCCCTTAGTTCCTGGCTAACTTAAAAATTATGGGGAAATAAACTCATACTGTATAATTTCAGAGTCACTAAGTTTGCATTTTGGAAAAATATCAGCTGTAAATAAAAACATTTGTTAAGCTTTTTAAAAATATAACTGCAACTTGTTTGTTGAATAATATCTCCTATATTAAAGGCTAGGTACCTTTAAATGTCTGTTTTACAGAAATTTCAGTCTAATATATTTGTACTGTCCTCATGAATAATGTGCCTTTAATGGATTTTTATTAAAGAATAACTCCCTTAAACATAATTAGATATTAAAGCTTTTTTTTTAATAGAAACAGGGTTTTGCTAGATTTTTCCAAAACTAGCAGTAAAGTCTTAGATTGTAAAAGTAATATTACATACCTCTCTTCATTAGTCTTGTTTCAATAAGAGAAATAAATATAGGAAATTAAAATGACACTTAAATTTTTTCATTATATTTATGTCTTGTATGTTAACTTCAGTATGATWGTTTTATAAAATAAATACTCTAATTTAACTGTATCATACATTTGTTCACATCAAGTCTGAGTATTAGCTCTTAGAAGAAAACACTTTTCTGTTCCAAATAGTATCTTATTTTACAATTGAAGGTAATGAAGATAGGACTCCATGGCAAAAATATTTTTCAAATCATTATATCATGGGCATTGAGGTAGAGTAGTGCAGAGAAAAATCAGTATCTCAGGGGTCTTCTAATCCAAACATATTTCCCTGTCTCTCTCTCTCTCTCTCTCTCTCTCTCTCTCTCTCTCTCTCTCTCTCTCTCACACACACACACACACACACACACACACACACACACACCCGAGGGTAAAACTCCACAAAGGCAAAGAACAAAAAAAATTACTATATATAGTAACTTACTCTATATAGTATGAGATTAAAGATAAAATACAGTGAGGGGCTGGGGTTGTGGCTCAGCGATAGAGTGCTCGTCCAGTACTTGCAAGGTACTGGGTTCAATCCTCAGCACCACATACAAATAAATAAAATAAAGGTCCATCAGCAACTAATTTAAAAAAAATAAATAAATGAAGTTTTGGACTTATCTATTGATGTTTTAATTTTCCATAATGCCACTGTRCCCAACTAACTGTGGTTCTCTGTCCACAAAATAACTAAAAAACTATCCCCTTCCTCGCATATTACACTTTTTGTAACTCTATTTTTTCTTTTTTTGTCACTTATGATTAGCTTTTCTTAAGGCTTACCTTCTCACTTAAAAATACAAGTAAACATTTCAGGCTTCCAGGATTGATGGAAGAAAGTTTATTCAGAAGATTATTAGCTCCTYATCTGCTGTGTGACCTTAAAAAGTTGTATCAGTGTCTGGGTCAGTGACTGGGTCTCATTTTTTTTCAGCTTTTTAAATGATGGGTTTCTTTCCATTTTAATTCACATTGAAATTCAATGAGTCTTTTTAACAAGTAACTTTTKGGGGTTCAAACATGTTTTAAAATAATAATCTATGAGAAGTGTGGAGACCAACCTTGTATGTGACTGAGTCACACTCCCCAGCTGGGTGCTGAGGCGCTCAGTGGCAGAAATGTGGCAGAACTTTCTCCACCCTTCTTGGGTTCGAGGGTCGGGTGTCTATCTACAGCCCCATGGGTGGAGCTATGCTCACCTGTTCCTTTGTAATATAACCCCTTGCCCTGTTTAGGATAGAATCTTCCATGGAAGTGCCTTGTGTGTGTCCCCTTCTCTTACTGTGCCCTTGGGTGTGGCCTATCCAGGTGTCAGTCAACCTGCTGACAGTGGACATCATGAAGATAGATTCAGCCCCCTGAAACCTGACCCCTTGCCTCATTTGAATAGCTTCTCCTCAATAAAAGGGCTCAGGGGGTGCTCTTGCTCTCTCTCTCTTCCTGTGGACTCTTAAAGTCAGAGGAGCCATCACAGCGACCCCAAAGAAAAAGGTATTTGTGTCTCTTGTGTGGTTATTTTTCACAGCCCAATTAGCCCAGTTTAACTGGAGTGACCCATGAACCTCTTAGTTGCGAGAACAGAAACCCGGCAGAGAAGCATGTATCATGAGTACAAATCAAAGGAACCACACGTTCACATTTGCAAAACTCATCTCAGAGGGAACTCAGTTTTTATCTCCAGTTTGCCTCTCACCAAGTGAAGTCTGGCTGTTTCTGGAAAAACTCCTTTCAATCCAGTGCTTCTCAGGCTCTTCAGGTAAACATTCCAGATGAACKCAGCCTCTCTCCTCCTTTATTCCTGGGATGGTGTTTAAATTTCAGAAGAGTTCTATGAAATCCATTTTCAGTGGGACTGAGKATCTGCCAGCATCTGTCCCCATGTAGGGACTCAAGTGTGTCAGGAGAGTGAGCATTTGGCAGGTGATAGGGGGGCAGGGATTTGGTCAGATCACAAAGTATCTTTACATTGATTYAAGAGAGCTCATAATATGAAAATCATAAAATAGAATCTCAGAACTCATATGCCTCCTCAGTCTTTGCAAATGTTGTTCTCTCTGGAACCCGCCCTTCTGAGACTTTATAACTACTGCATTTCCACCAACAGTTAGCTGAAAAAAACAACTCTTTGAAGAAATAATTCAAACTCCTCAGTCTGCTAGTGTGTCCATCTGCTCTCTTTGGGACCCTGTGCAGACTTCTATTTACACTCTCAAGCAAAGTTTGGTTTGCTTGTCTGTCTTCCCCATGGATTGTGAGTTCACAGCAGGCTGTGCTGTGTCATATTCGCACCTTCCTCCTCCTCAAAGACTCCTTTCCATCTCCTTCCCCTTGGAGAGTACTGTATGCCTGCCTCTTCAGTTAGCTTGAAACGCAAAAGCTGCTTCCTCCCTGCCCACTCGAGATAGGTGGAAAGATATAGCAACCTTTCTCCTAGAGTGRGAATCAGAGAAAGGTGAGGCTGAACTAATTCTACTGCTTCTTTAATCATTTAATCATGCTCTTTACTTCAAAGATTGAAGGAAAGTACTTCATTAACCAAGACTGCAACTCCGTCATTTGGAAAGGAACATCAGAACAATTAGTGATCCCTGACACYGGAACCTTCAGAACAGTTAGTTACCTTGGCGCTCTCCCTGACTCCCTGCCCACTGCATTTGATGTCAGATGGCCATCCCGCCCATACTGCATGAGCGGRTGACACATAATCAGACCAGGATGACCTTCCCAGGGATGCTCTTAAACAATAAATCCATCTCAGAGCTGTTCAGCTTCACTGAACAACATAACCTCTATCTTGAAAATTTGTCAGTCCTATAGCCACTATCAAGTTCAGCACACACAATGTGAACCATGCGCAATCCCCTCCTACAGTTGACTGGCGTTTTTCCCAAGAGCACACAACAGGCAGCAGGGTGACTTGCAGTGCAGATTGAATGATGAGCAGAGCCAGTGAGAGTCTCGATCTAAGATGCCGAAAAAATATGCCCCAAACCAAAGCAATTGATCTGAGATATAGACCTTATGGGAATAAGATTGTAAGGAGCAGGGAAAGAGGGAGAGGGGCTAAGATTTATGCTTCTATATGGGAAAAAAAATTTACCCGAGAGCAGACTTTTCATGGACTTACCTACCTGTTCCACTATTCTGAAGCAACACAACCTGAGATCAATAGCCACAGCAACAATAAAAAGAATCTCAGAACTTCCAGAGCTCACTAGATGACAGAATATCTGAGCACTAAATACAAACTCTTTAGCATTTTATATGACATCCTATTCTCTTCAATTGCTAGAAGTATTGTTAGTGATTCTCTCTTGAAACAAAAATAGATAACTAAAGCATGCAATCAAAATGAGTAGATAAGATAAAATCCTCCATATCCCCTCACAAAAGAAAATCCTGAATGGATACACCTSCTTAACTAGTTTTAAGTCAGTAAAAGGTTATCAACAGAGATA